CCAAATGGCAACATCTCTATTTTTTATTGTTCGGAATTGCTGAATAATACCACTTAGTGATGCAATATACAATAGCTCTATGAAGGAAAATTAACCACTAATTGCCTTCGACATTGAATGTTCAGCGGCATAGGAAAAAAACTTTTACGATTCGGATGCTACGTCGGGGCATTATGGGTGGAACCGGGCATTTTCTTAGTGAATGTTTCTTTCCTTCTTCTGAACACATGAATGTGTACTGAAATGTGTTAACTAAACTATCAAATTGTCAAAAAATTTTATATCATCACTATAAGTCAATCCTTCGCAAAATATTGACTTAATGTTGCCAAATAGCAACATCCGGCTTTAAAGGGTTAAAAGTTATTTAGTATCATTAATGAATAATATAAATTAATACTAACATAGATGATTCATAAAGATTGAGAAATACGACATTTCTTGGTAGTGAGAAACGTTTCGATTAACTAGTTTATGTAATGTATGGGTTTCTGTGTCCTACATGAATCAAATTTTCGTTACTTTATCCTTTAATCTTGACTATTTGTTTCCTTTTCTTGAGAAAATCAAATCTTTATCGTAGGTGGAAACAAGGAATATATTCTTGACCAGTGTCCGACTCGGGCCTGGTTGGGCCACTAACAATTGACTGATTTCGAAGTTTTTATAAGACAAACGGCAATTTCAAATGAGATAATGGTTTTGTTTGTTTCGAATATTGAGAGAGTTTGTATAGATACACTGAAAAGATTATTAACCTGTGAAAAAAAAACTCGTTTTTCTAGACAAAAAATGTCTCCAATCTCTGATCGGGTCGGGTCACGGAAAATTGACCCATGTCGGATACTGTTCTTGACCTTTTCTTGTCTTTGCTATTTCGCCGATATTCTGCAGTTGTGAGACTTTATAAGGTTCAAGAATGATTTTTCAAGGTCTTCTACGACATGGAAGCTCTACCCCTCCGTCCTTCTTCGTTTATTCTGAATAAATATTTATTTCAAATAAAGGTTTATCTTTTATCACTTCACATAACATTTATTTTTATAAAATAATACAAATAAAAAGAAATCATATTTCTATTTTGTCAAATCAATAAAATAATCGTTGTTACGAGTTTTTAACAGATAAACATCAATATACAAAAGATGTTTATCATTATAAAAATTATTTGCACAAGACAAACATGAAGTTATGACTCTATAAGATTATAGAATGTAAGTCTAGCGGCATCCCAAGGTCTGAAAAATCTTATCTAATCTTTGCGAGATTTTTCATCTGAAGAACATTTAATGAGGTCTACTTTTAATGCATTTTTTTAACTAATCTTATATTTTCTTTTTATTTATTATTTAGGAGCAAATATAGGTAGGCAAATTGAATGTACGTGATAGTTCAAACTAGTTCATATCGAAATCATTGAATAATATAAATTAATAAACATTTTTTCTTTTTTTTTGATATAGGAACATCAATAACAAATACTCTAGTTGCATTTAGTCAAATAGGAAATCGTAATGAATTTTCTCGTAGCTTTTCATCAGGTATTCTTATGGATGTATTTAATTATTTAACAACACTTGTTCTTCTACCTATTGAAATTTTTATTGATCGTATAACAACAATATCAGATATTTTTCATCGTAAATTTTCTTATCTGATTACAAACAAAAATATTGTTTAATTTAATTAATTTTTTTAATAGGTGGTGGTTATTTAGCTCGTGTAAGTGGTGCTATTGCTGCAATGATTCCTGAAAAACAAGGAATGAATATTCAATTACTTAAAGTAATTACAAAACCTTTAACAAAATTAATAATACAAATTGATAAAACTATTCTAATGAGTAATACGACAAAACAAACAGTTGGTAAAATTTATTGTTATAATGAAACAATTAAATGTAAATATTTATTTCGATCAATGATTGAAAATTTTGGTGATAATATTGTTGGAATAATTTTATTTATATGTTCTCTATTAATTCTTATTGGAATACTTTTATTTATGGTTAAATTATTAAAATCAATAATTATTGGTGTTATTGATGATACATTAAAAAAAATTCTTCATATACAATCTCATGGATGGAAAGAATATTTACTTGGATATGTTTTTGTTATTATTGGTATTATTGGAGCAATACTTGTTCAAAGTAGTAGTAAGTATTTCAATGAGTGTTTTGTCAAATTTCATATTTAAGAAATTAAAAATTAAACCGAGAAGTTTAGAGATAGAAAAATATTAGGTTTTCACAATGTTTAGCTTGCAGTAGAGTTGAAAGATACAATGAATAATTAATTATGCTTTTCGGGTATTGTGTTGAAAATGTAGTCTATCGATATTTAGGTTACCAAAAATTCAATAAGTTCTTAGAGGTTGAATACTACGATAACTCGTTTAAATCCTACTATAAATTCATCCATAAAGAGAGTTCAATCATCTGATTCTTTTCACTGTCAAAATCCCGACTATGTCACTACTGTATATCAATAGAAACAAATAGGTAAAGAAACATTCGTTTGATGGAAATATGAATCATTAACTCATGACTTAGAGACTAGCATTTGTAGAACTACAGTTGCTACAGCAATGAGCGATTGATATATCGTTAATATTCGGCATGGAATTCAAACGAAGTGCTTCTTTGAAAATGCTAATCAAAATCAATTTAAGAGACTCCTTTATGGATAGAGGATACGAGCTAGCATGTTTGGGCAATTTTTAAATTGTAGAGTTTATCTAGAGCTAGGTCGTAATAGTCCAGTTTTTGAATTCCCCATCGTTTGTTTTTAAAAAAAACTTTTTCAAAAAATTCTCAAATTCGTGACGAAAAAAAATACTTAATGGAAATAAAACTCTTAGTTTTTTATTTCAGTAATAAGAATAAAATCTTTTACAAATAATAAAAATTTATCAAGCAAAACCACTCTAGTTTGACCGGCTGAAGTCATTATCATAAAATTGATAAAGAAAATTTTTTTTTCAGGTATTTTTTGTTCAATTTTAACACCATTAGTTGGTCTTGAAGTACTTTCACTTGAACGTAATTATGAATTAACAATTGGTGCTAATATTGGTACAACCATAACAGCACTTCTTGCTTCTCTTACTCAGACTGGTCTCTTTTTTCGTCAATCAATTCAAATAGCATTAACGCATTTTTTATTTAATGTATCTGGTTGTATACTTTGGTATATTCTTCCATATTTTCGTCGTATTCCAATTTATTTAAGTCGTCAAATTGGTGAAATTGTATCTGAATATCGTTGGTTTGCTTTAATTTATATAACATTAATATTTTTTCTTTTTCCATTAATTCTTTTAATTCTTGCTTTAATACATTGGATTGTTGCAAGTATATTTCTTCTATGTATTTTTCTTCTTACTATTTTTATTTTGATTATTAAATATTTTCAAAAAACAAATCCAAATAAATTACCAATTATATTACAGTCATGGTCTTTTCTACCACGTTCATTTCGTTCATTTTCTTATTGGGATCATCATTTAGAAATTTTTATTAAATATATTTGTTGTCAACGATGTATTAATTTAATTTATCCATCGAATACAATTGAAAATCCATTAAAAGAACAATACTTATCAATGAAAACTCAATATTTAACAGCACTTGATCATCATTTTTTAATTCATACACAACAATTAAATCAATTATTTGAAAAATATCATGCACCAATCATTCCTATTTATGAATCACAACAACATTCAATTACAAATGATGTACAAGATTTCTATCATAGTTTAACTGGTAAACCAATACAAGGTGAAAAAACATTATTAACTTTTGAACAAACAAATTTATTGTCTAAGGAAATAAATATTCATGAAAATGAAGAAGATTTAATCGATCGAATTATTGTTTTTGATCGAGAGAAAAAGAAAGAAATATCTGTAAATGAATATAAAAGTTCTTTGTCTTTTTAAACTTTTTTTATATAAATAAATAGTGATTGTAGCTGTTGCTATTAATGACAGAAAAATTAATTTATTCTCTCGATCACAAAAAAAATTGTCGAAACTGGAGCTAAAGATTCTATAGTTTTCAATGAATTCTCTTATAAATCATCAATCATAGAATAGTTCAAGAGATATGATCCAAAAAAAGTGCTAGTCGTCAACTAAAACAATTTTACATCTGATACAACCGAGTTTTGAAATAGTTTTCTCTAGATAGAAATCGGACCGTAGCGTTTGAAAGTTTCAAAAACTTGGATCGAAAACTAAACCACCTCTTCAGATCGAAGAACACATATATGTGCGTCAATTTTGGTTCAAATAGTTACTGGCTTGAACATGTCTCTTACACTAGGAGAATAGCCAGTGGAGGAAAATTTCTACTATGAAGATAAAGTCGTTCTTTAGTGGAAGGAATATTGCTTATTCTGAACATTGATTTCTCTACTATAGCAAATATATCATTAAATTATCATTCATTATTTTCTTTCTTCTTGTAGCTAGACTCATTCATTTCTCTACTGTTTTTTTGAATCTTCGATGAATGTTGACATCTACTATCAATTTCTCGTACCATATCTTTATTATCTTTATGTCAGTTCTTCTTTGTACTGCATACTCGATTCTGCTTCATCATTCCTATATATATATGTACATTGTCTTCTCGTTTCAAAAATTTATATTTCTTCTTATAGTAATTAAACGTATGTCGAGAAATCTTTATTTTGTCATTCTTGAGACTAAAGATCTTAGTATATATGTGTAATATATAAAACGTCTTTAATCTCAACAATTCAATAATAAAATTTTTCACAATTGATTTAGAATTGCCATATCTATCTGATGATTTAACGGTTTCAGTTTCACGTGTTATTTTGGAAACCGAATTGAAATTGTCGAACTTTACGAGAGTGAGACTGAAATAAAAAAATCTTGCTCTTTTTAGAAAATGTTTCACAAAAATATGATCTATCCTAGGAATTATATTAGACATAGCATGATATTAATCGTTTAGAGAAATAAAGACGATTATTAAATACTGTTGAAGTATATTGACAAAATCATTATGTTGCTAATAAATATAATCGTAAATATTACTCACATGCATATCCAACCGACGCCCAAATGAACTAAAGGGACTTAAAAACCTAGAGATTTCTCATGGACTCGTTGCTTTTTATTATCTATACTTATTGAATATGTATTTTGCTTTCTTCGTCATCTCAACTGCAAGATGATTGTATTCGTGAACTCTTTGTAACTATTTCTATTTTAAAATAATCACATAAATTCATAGTGGTGTATAGGAATATATGTACATAAGGATTTTTTTATGCTATAAATAAAAATGTTGACCTCAAGTATCAATAAAAATATCGACTACCAATAATTAACTTAACCTATTCTGATTTATGTATTAGATCAATTTTGATTGATGACATTATATAATTTTCAAAAAATTCTTAGAATTGCATTCTATCAATTTTCTCGAATTAATCATTTTAGAATTACGAATGATTCTGAAATATTAATTACTATTCTCAGATTTTTATCGTGTTTTTATTGTGATTTTTTTTTTTTGTTTTTCTTTTTACTTTCATCTTGTGTCGTCTATAATATAAATATTTGAAAACTTCTGTATAGCTTTCAATGCTAAAGGAGACGACAACGTAGACGTAAATAAAGAACAGCAAAAGCACACATTGCCTATATGTGTAATAAAAAAGTACAAAGTTTATATGGTTTGTTTTCTCTGCAGATGTTTGGACTTGAAATTCAACATACAATAGAGGACTTTTTTTTGCCTTGGTTGCTAATAACTACTTTCTACGTCATCTTTAATGTTTCCCCGAAACAAAATATCTGCGCCATTCGATAACATCTAACAACAACCTAATTGTCTACAAGGTATTTAAAACGTGCAAGTACAAAATTTTATTCTCATAAGTTCACATTTAGAAGAATGACATTCATTGCTAGAATTTAATAAGTAAGTTAAAAAAATTCAAGAAGGATATCGACAATTGTTTGATGAAAAAAATTTTACTTTTACAATAGAAATATACAATTGATAAATGTACCGCAAGACTTGGCAATGGTGCTACATATCGATGTTGTACTCGATAATGATTTACTAATCTCATTTATTTTCTTTTACTACACAATCGAAATACAATTTTATTTTCATAATATTTATCATAAGAAATATGTATCTTTTGATCATATTAATACGAAAAGATTTTTTTTTTTAATTTTAGAATATGTTTAAACAGAAATTGAATCACAAATTTTTTCTTAATTTAACTAAAAATAATAATTTTATTCTTCATTACTTATCCAAAATTCTTATTAAACTGAATAATGATCATTAATATTTATTCAATAAGATCAATAATTGGTTAATTTATTTCGAGAAACTATCTAACAGATGAAGCGAAAATTTTGAGACAAAATATTTGTTTATTTTTGATTATCTTAAAAGTGTTTCCATCTACAATGAATACCAAAATTATTCAACATGATTTATTTTGAGTTTTTCTTCGCTACCTGTAGGTTTAGAGCTAGTCTAAATAGTGATCCGAGTGGAGTGTTTTATTTCGAACAAGAATTTATGAAAATAAAAATTATTATTAAATTTTGAAAGATAAGGCATTTCGAAAATCAAAACCCTAGTTTTTCAACATCGAGTATACATAAATATAATTTTGTTTGGGCTGCATAGGATCATAGAGAAAATAATTTGCTAGAAAATGAGACAACTCTCAATTCTCTATGATAGTTTTTGGCTGAGATACAGCAATATTACGGAATCTCCTTAAGGCGGTTTTTTTATTAATACCTATAGAAAAAGTATTTTTTGACTTCAATCTAATTACTTTATCTCAGACAAAAGTATTTGTAGAAAACTTGAAGGCATCGCATTTTGTGGACAATCATTTACTCTATCATTCAATGTAGTTTACAAAAAGAATAAAATTCCATTGTTGTAAGTGTTTACAAACTAGATTTTTTGAAGATCGTATCTTTGAGAATCTAATAATAATTATTATTTTCTTATTATATTGTTAGAAATAATTTTCTTTAGTGAAGCCACTATTTGAATTCATTTTTGAAGCTTAAAACAGTGGAAAAAAGTTGAAACAAAATCTTGTTGAATAATTTTGTCACATACTGTATATATACTTAGAAAAGAAATAAAATACAAACATATTTTATTAAAGGTATCACGTTGTAAAACACTTATTTACATATCTTAATGACAATAGATGTATCTAAGAAATTAAGAAATAAAGTTTTTTTATTTATTTTCAGATCTATGACTGCCACAAATACTTCTGTTCTTGTTCTTCTTGATCCTAACGATCACCATCAACAATTCGATGGTAATTATGATGCACAATTATTTTCTCGATTTACTGATAAAAATCGTTGTGTATTACATGTATTATCTCGTCTTGCACATGTTGGTTTACTTCATTTCTTTATACCAAATGCTGAAAATACTTTAATTAATGCACGAGTTACTTTATTTAAAAATACAATATTTTATATTTATTGTATTGATGAAGGAAGTGTTATAGCAATGAAAAGAACATATAATTATCCAATGTTTGTAAAAATCTTTCATGTTCAATGGTTATCAACATATATATGTCAGGCAGCTATTGCACATTTAGTTGAACGAGCTGAACGTACACAACATGATCCTGAAGAATATGATACATCATTACAAGTAGCAGCTGAACTTGCAAATACATTAGCTAATGAACTTAATGAATATATGATTGTGAAAACTGGTTTACAACCAGAAGATCGTATATGATATAAAAAAAAGAAATATAATAAAGTGTTTATAAAGAAAGAAAAATCCCTGATGAAAATCGTCTTCTGTTAATATTAATCTTCTTGATAAATATAATCTAACTTTATAGAGATGAAGATGATTAAGAAAATTCAGATTTGAATATCTTACCTTGTTGGATATGATCTTGAGTAAGTTATCAGCTTTCATAAAAGTGATGTTTATATGTAAGTTCTAGTCTTCTCTTTACTTATACCCACATGTATAAAATTCAATTTTGGTTTAGTAGTAATCAAATTTAATAAACCATGTTCACGTGATGAGAATATATCTGACAACTCTTGTCATTGACCAAAAAGAAAATTGTATATGTCTATTATAGTCCTAGTTTTTGTACTGATAGTAGAAGATACTTCCAAGGTTTTTTATTTATTAATATGAAGTTCTCAAGTACTTTTTAAAAGTGAGACATTTAGGATCAATACAAAATACAATTGTTTTTCGACTAGCTATAAACAATATGTAGAAGTTCTCAATTTAGTTTCATTATTGGAAGCTTTCAGTTGTAGAGGCGTATTTCTTTTGCTTCATAAACATTTGTTGGACCCTTTTTAAAAAACGAAACATATTGATCTCAAGTCTAATATCCGTCAAAAACCCTAAAACAACATCGGTTTACTCAGTTTGCCTTTTATCGTTGTTTTTCATAAGACAACAAACCACTCTGGATTTTCCGGATAGTAAGAGAAGTAGGCCTAGTAATGAAAAAAAAATTCTACATATAGTTTTTTGATAATTCAAAAAAAGGCTTTATTGTGTATTCAACCTAAAGATGGTACTGTTGTAAGAGTATTTGAGAATTTCATATTCGTCAATAAAAACTTTGAAGTATCATCTACCATTAGTAGAAAAATCAAGTTCTCCAAGAGAATTCAACCCATAAAATAACTACGCAGAAACTACTTGTAGTTTTTTTCAACTGTTACATCAGAGTGTTTTGTATTGATACGGATGAATACTTTTGTAGTCTGTTAAAAATAATAGGTTCGAGTTATGACATAAATTCGAATTTGAGTACAAAACATTCTCTGTAATCGTCTATAGCTGTATTTAAAATTTGTAAACGTTACCACTGGTTCATATGAGTACTGTCGCGGTGCTCTAGTAAACTTATGACATTGGAATTTCTTTTTGGTCAATGACTTTTCAGTCTTAAAAATTTGATCGTAGATTGTTATTACAAGTATTTTTTAGGGTTAAAAAAAGAACAGACGAACATGTATTTTTATTTTTGCTTGTATTAGTTATAAAGAAAATCAAAAACGAAAAGCATGAAGAAAGTAACGATACAACTGAGTTGTCTGATTTTGACAATCTTTTCATGAATATAAAATGAAAAAGAAAACAAAAAAAGAAAAAATCAAAATGAATAACTAATGCAGATATACCAAAAATGAAAAGAATGAATAATCCTATGAGTAAACCAGGATACATGGAATGACAAAATTCCACCGACTTATCGTTAATACAAGACAACAAAGAGAGAGAAAAAAAGAAACAGAATGAACGTAATAATAACTATGATAATTTATCGTCTTTTATTTTGATTTATTTTTGTTTTGTTTATATTTTACGTGTTGAAACTTTTGTACCTTTTTTAACTTGTGGTTTATTTAAAATGACACCTTGTTTTCGTACTTGTCCTGATGTTTTTTTCGATGTTGAATAAATTGATTTACGTCGTTGTACTTGTCGAAGAGCATTTTTAGCTTGTAAACGATTAGAAAGTTTTTTAACTTTATAGATACGTACGATCCAATGTTCTGTTGTATAAGCTTCTTCAACATGTTGTAAATCAAAATTTTTATTTCCAATTTCAACATGACGAGTACGATCAAAACTAAATACAAAAAGAAATAAAAGTTTTTATTTTGAAAAAAATAAAATTAAAACAAATAGTTTTTTTTTACCCAGGTGGTGATCGAAAATCAGTTTGTAATTCACCAAAACGATAATAACATAATTTATACATTAAACAATTAAGTAATATTGGTGAGCCAGAGCGATCAACACGAAATTCACCATTTTCAGTAAAATAATCTTGTTCACGAATATCTTTTGGATGCTCACCTATAAATATAAAATAAAAATTATATTGTATGTCTAGAGTAGCTGTTAAAACTATCTAATTAGATCTATAGTCAATTTTTCTTTCTTGCAGTAGATGTGCCTACTAATAAAAGCTTGTTATGATGATAGAGTAGAACATTCTCGGAAAAATTATGCATTCTCAAGCTTTTCACTACATCTTTTGGTAGAGCTACACATCATTTACAGTAGGGTGAGAAAACGTTTTTTTCTGGATCTTTCGTAAATTTGATGTAATTCAACGTATAATTTCATGAAGACCTCGGGGACATCTCATTTTTTCCGTGCATATTCTGCCCTTACTACAAGAGAAATGAAAGAATTTACAATCAATTGGATCATTTTGATGATTATAGTATATCATTTCAAACTTTGTTTACCTTCAGCAATTCTAACCATCCATAAAAATTTATTAATATCATCTCCTGAATATCCAATCATACCACCAAAAATAACTAAAACATAATCAACATCAAGCATAGTCATTATTTTATATGCTTCTGTTTCATTGCTTGACATTGCTTTTCCAACCAATGCAATATGACTATTATTCCATGTATTATTGTCAACTAAAACTGTACGATTGCCCATACCAGCTATTTGGTAACCATAATCCCACCATGACATAACACGAGCTCTTTCAGGTGTATTTTTTCTTAACCAATAATAAGCTTCACGAAAATCATCGATTATATATCTTGAACCATCATTATTATATGATGCAAGAACAATAGATGGTGATGAATAAGCATTGGAAGTAACCCATGTACAATGAACAGCAAGAAGCATTAACATCATGGCAACTTAAAATTACATTTTAAATCAATTTATAGATTGAAAAAAAAATAATAAATTTACTTACTACAAATAACAACAACGGTTTTTATATTTGATGAAACAATACTTGTATCCTCATCTGTCTCTTGATTATTAGTTGAAGGACCACGTCGTCCTGTTGTTGGTTTTGGTTTACCAGCTTTATCATATAAATTTCGATTATTTTTATCATTTTCATTTTCATTTTCATCATTATCGGTTGATGGTACAACTGGACTTGTACTCATATCGGATGTTTCTGTATCCGCATAATAATCAAGAGTTTTTGATAAGGCAATAGCAGCTAAGTGAAAAATTAAATTTAAAAAAAAATAGAAAAAAAACATCTTGCTGGGTTTGATGACCTAATAAGAAGCGATAGGCTGATTGTAGAGTACTCATAGAGATTTTAATCCATAGGATATTTGCAAAATTTGCTTTTAAAATCATTTCGATACACTTAAAGATGTTGTTCATTTTCTATAATCAATAGTTTTCATTATTGCTTTTTTCATAATTCAAAATGGTTCCTTTTCTTCAGTCAAGGTTATTTCTTGTTTACTTGATATTCTCTTGTGTTCAATTCTGTGACATAAGGTTCAATACACTAGAATATCAAGGAGATAAGAAATAAGTTACACTTAAGAAAAAGAACTATTTTCGGATTTTGAGAAAGCACCAATGAAAACTATTGATTATAGAAAAGAAAACCCACAGTCAAGATAGGTGACTAAATCCAGCAAAATCCTTTGATTTTGTTTTTACCAAGTACACAAACACATGGTGTTAATGTTAACATTAAACGAATCATAACACCAGCAAAATAAGATGCAAATACAGCATAAAGAACAATAAAAACACGTTCATCATTTAATTCTTTAATACAGAACCATGCACCAACTGGAAATAAACAAATTAAAAGATGAAGATCTAAAAGAAAAAAAAAAAACAATAAACCATAAATAAATTCTTTTTATTAAGTTTTACCAAAAAAGAATGATGTCCATGTTGTTGGTTGATGTTCACTAACACTAGCAATAATTGGTATATGTATTTTCGCATAATTTGTATCCCATAATGAATAAAATCTTCCTGACCATGGTGCAATATAACCAGCATATGTTAATACAACAACAACAGCAAATACAACTAAACCAATAATGATCATTAAACCAAAAAATAATTGTTTTAAATCATCAGCACGTGGTAATTTAGTGTAGAGATAATCGATAAAAGCATATGCTTGTAAAAGAGCAAAAACACCAGCTGCTAACATATGTTCACTTGTACGAACAGGTTGAAAACCAACAAATGGAATTTGCATTGAAAGAATTAAACCAAGAATATAAAATGTTGAATATGATACATATAATCGTAGAGAATATCGACGAAGAACAAGTAAAATAAACACATGAACAGGAATTAAATTGATAATAAATACATAACCACCCCATGCTGAAACCTTGATAAAGAACAAACAACATGTATTTTATTTATTCATTCATCATGAATAGTATGAAAATTGAATTTATTATAAATTTTGAATTTTTTTTTTTCATAGTTATTTTGTCTATGTAAAGCTAGAAATTTGTTTAACATTGATTAAATTTTTGAAAAAAAAAATGAATCATTTTGGAAGATGACAGATTTACTTATCTCTAAACTTGTCAGCTTAAAGTGACTGAAATTCATAATGATTTTCTCTATTGAAGTCTAAAATTTAACAATACCAGATATCGTATAGGATTGCTTTCTAACAATTTTCGCATTCGTGCAGACCACCGCTTTTTTCTACTCGAACTTTGCTTGAATTAAATATTAGGATATTTATTAGAAGTAGAAAAAATGTAAAGTCTACGATATATTTGGATATAAAGATTAACATTATGTAATGTTAAATCAAAGCGCTTATAAGTAATATGCATCTCTTACCGAAGAATCCATTCATATGTCACTAATTTCAAAAGAAATAAATCAAGCATAAATTTCAATGTACTTCCTATTGTTGAGAAAAAACTTACGAAAACACATTAAAAATATTCAATGAGAATAAATGC